GGATGGATGGATGGATGGATGGATGGATGGAAAGTGGATGTATGGGTGGATGGATGGATGGATGGATGGATGGATGGATGGATGGAAAGTGGATGTATGGGTGGATGGATGGAGGGATGAACAGAAACAGTTTTTCTGATCATGTGATCAAACTCTAATTTCCCAATCAGAGCTCCAATCTTCCCACTGGACTCTCTCCAATCATTAGAACCCAATGGAGCAGACCCAGTCCAACCCACAGCACCGTGGGTCCAAGTGAGCCTGGGACGGACGGCAGCCGAGACACAACCAGAACCTGGAGCTGGGTCAGAGCAGCTGCCTTTCCTCTGCTAATCACCGCCATCAGCCAGGAGGAGCTCAGGCGCCTGGCAGCTGACCCGGTCTGGCAGCTGACCCGGTCTGGCAGCTGACCCGGACATCAACCTGACCAAATATCACCAGGCCAACAAGCCAGCCAGCCGGGTGGGGAAGCTGTTTCAGGGAGACGTGACATCCAGCGTGGGTAAGTCGGCCCGGTTCGCTCCAGCTCTTATCAGCTCCAAGCAGCTCTTTGAACAGCGAGCCGGGTGAAAGCGAAGCGAGGCGGTAAACCGTGCTCAAGGTGATCACACACATTAGACTCACAGAGTGGCTGAGCAGGGGACTGTTTTCATTGTTGCACACGCTGTAGACCACATTCCAGCAGCACAATTACATCAAACACACTTTTGCACCATGGAGCAGATCCAACCTCAATCTATATGCATAATGATAGTGATTAAAGTAACAGCAGTGATTAAGATAATAATGGAGCTTGTGATTCATGAGTGGCATCAGCCTGAGTAATGTTTGAAAATAAAGCTAACCTCCTTGTTTCCTCGAGATTTCTGAGCTTTACATCATGGTGTAACGTTATTCACTCGTCAAAAACAGTGTTGCTTTAATTCTTTCACACATGTTTGAGGAATCATTTAATCTCCGTGGGAACCATTCGGGTGTGCAATACGCCTGGTTGGACTTAGCCCCGCCTTCGAGGCGCAGCACTTCCTCAGAGCTGCAGCAATTAGCAAACACCTGGTGCTCAATGTGATCACCTTGATTATATGAGCTAATTCTCAGTGAAACACTGGTAAAAACGTTGCCAAAACGTTAATAGAGGAGCCATGTTGTGATTACTTCCTAAAGATGGAGTTTCAGAAAGAGAAGAAGTTTTAAAGAGACAGAAGCCCAATTTCAAGACATTAAATTACAAAGTGAATTTTCTTTTAAAGGGGCAGGTGTTATGTGTTATCCAGGCACATAGTCCAATTTTATTGCACAATAAAGTAACTATGTTAACTCTAATTGTAAAAAAAAAAAAAAAGTTATATGTAATTAAATACGACTTAAAATAAATTTGACTTCATAATTTAGTCCCTTGAAATTGGGCCTCTGTTTCTTTAAAAGCTCCTGCTGTTTCTGAAACTCCACCTTCAGGAAGTTGTCAAACACGGTTCCACTACTAACCCTTTAACAACATTTTTACCTGCGATGCAATGAGAGGTAACTCCTATAATGAGCTCAGCAGATGTGCAGTTCCACCAGGTGTTTGCTAATTGCTGCTGGCTAGTTTGAAGGAAATGAGTGGGGTAATCGCAGGGTATGAGTGCTCTGTGAGGTGGAAGCTCTGAAGCTTCAAAACTGCAGATGAAACTAGCATCTTGAAGGCAGAGCTAGGTCCTACCCAACGTTTTGGACAGGTGAATGTTTGCCATGGAGACTAAATGATTCCTCAAACATGCATGAAAGAATCAAGGCAACACCTTGACATAATAACATGATGTAAAAATCAAAAAAGTTGATTTTACATAACCCTGCCCCTTTAAGTCATATTTGATATACACAGCATTTTTGTAGCAACTGAAGTTACTTGATTTTGGTGTAAAATGGCTCTATGTGACTGGAAAACACACAATGCTGCCCCTCTAATCATCCAGAATCAGCGACACCATAAAGATCCCAGATTCAGCTTTGATCATCTGCAGCATGGAGGAGAGCACTTAAAGCTGGAGGGCCACTCCTTCTTGCCTCCCCTCTCTGCGTCTACTTGCCTTGACAGCAGACTGCCTGACCCGTGGAGCTGGACAATTTCCCTTCAAGGCCGCTGACAGAACTGCTGTAGACCTAATTGGGTTATCCTTGCACGAGGGTGCACAGAGACACAAACATATGACCGGATCCCTGCTGTGATACGACCTCATTTATCCGAGTTTTTGCCTCTGCAGCCATGGCTTTTTTTTTTTAGTTCATCTCAGAGATACAGCAAAGTTGAGCTTATTGGGTGCACAGCTGAGCCTGTCGCAATAAGAAATGAATCAATTAATCACACGGAAAATTAAAATGAGTTTGATAATTTACATTTTAATGACTCATATTTTTGTTTTCAGAGACTTTGTAATCCACTTTGTTTTTTGTTTCGGTTGGTTGATATTATTTTAGATTGTTAAAATATCTCCCAGCATTATGATGCCCTTAATCATGCATTACTTGAAAATGGTTTCAAACAACAATATTAACATTTATCACAATAATTAGTGGGGCAATTTATCATCCAGCAAAGTTTGTTATCATTACAGGCCTATTTGCTATCCAGTATGTAGTGTTTTTTTTCTTTGCTTCTTTACAAAAGTCCTCCCTGCCACTTTTGCCTGTTTTCCCTGTCTAAGCTGAATTATTATTTTTATATTATAACATGTATTATTGTTAAATTACAATATCATCGTCTATTGTAGTCATTTCTGGGACAATATAACTGTGTTACCTTCTGCTAGGTCTGGACGATTAATCAGTTTTATTAACTAATCAAAGTTTTTTTTGTTTTTGAATTTTTATTTTTTATTTTTTTACCAATGCATTTCTTGTGTTTCCAAAGTTCAGAGTGATGTCAGCCCATCTGGAGCCTCCATCTTGTTTTCCAAAGTCTTGGACTTTGAATTCAAATAGATACCAAGTAAGGAAGATTGAAATAAAAGCAAGTTTTTGAAAATATTTACTGTCATTTATCATTTTCAGATTTTATTTTTAAGCCATATTGCCCAGGTCTAATTTTTATTATTATGAAAATGCAGTATATATAAAACATAGCTTAAAACAAATTTGACTTTGCATCATCGCCATATCTGACACCTTGAATTGGCCTCCGTCTCTTAAGAAGCTCCTCCTCTTTCCAACACTCCATGCACAACAATGCCATTTACAGTCATTCTTAAGAGCATTGTAGTTCATATGATGAGCTCAGCAGACATGCACTTCAACCAGATATTTGCTAACTGCTGCTGCCACTAGTCTGGAGGAGCTGAGTGGGAGACGGATGACGCTCTGTGCGGCAGAAACTCCAAGGCGGAGATTTGTGAAACATTATGGTTGCCACCAGAGATTAAAGGATTTCTCAAACATTCATAGAAGAGTCAAAGCAACGCTCCAGGGAATAGCATTATAACATGATTTGAAGCTAAAAACAAAAGTCAGTTTACATTATACCTCACTGGACCATTTTAAAGATGCACTGATCTGCCTTTTTACTGGCCAACAAATAAATTAGAGGTTTCTTTAAGTACCAATCTGATATGTGCAAATATTGGTTTCATTTTGCAACTGAATGCAACAAATGTTGATTATAAAATGAAGAAATTGTCCAACGTGTTCCTTGACAGAGGTAGTAGTTTGGAGTCTGTGTAGCAAAGCATTAATCTTTAAAATAAATTCAAGTTTTATAAACTTTTCATTGTTTCTTTTTAAAGCAAGAGATGCATTGATTGGGCTTTTACTCAACTGAAACTAATTTCCAGTTATCTTTTGTCGATTGAGGTTTTCTATATCACAAACAAACTTAAAAAGCAGGTAAGAAACAAAATTTTAAAGATAAAGAAAGTAAAGATAAAAAAAATGTACTGCTAATGGTTTGTTAGAGGTACATTGGAAATTTAAATTAAAATGTGTTAGGGAGGGACAATGCACACTAATTAACATTTCTGTAAACGCACCAGAATTAGCCAAAAGGTTATTTTTCATCAGTCGTCTCTGGACAATGAGAGATTTGTCTTGCTAAAACAAAGGTTATATAAAGTAAGTTTAAAATGACACACAAATACTATAAATCCAATCAGGATAAACAGTAAATACAAAACAAAGAAAGCAACAACATAATTATCAAGTAAATTTTGGATTTATACTTGAACTTCTTAGAGTTAAATAGTGACATAAGCTTGGATCCATAAGACAGGTTAATGTAATTTCATCATTTTCCAATGGATTCTGTCTTTCTCCATTTCTTAGGACTTTTATTCTTTCCGAATCAGAATCGTTCGCTGTTTGAATCTGCAGGTCAGAAATCAGTGCCGGAAACAAAAAGCCCGATTGGTGCATCAATCCAGAGTTAGGTCAGGGTTTCTCATGCTGCTAATTTAAAAACACCAACCCAACCTCTGCTGATTAATATCTCAGATTATTTTGATGCTGTTTGTTGTGATGTATGTAACAGGTCTATCTTGTAACTCATATGAGTTATGTACAAATAAATGATTAATAATAACAGTAATTACCTCTGCTGGTTAAAAGATGCACTTAAATCGTACATGTTTAACATTTCTTGCACATTCACTCAAACCGCTGTTTTACTTAATTATATCCACCATTAGGACTCTTATTCTGGCCTAATCGACTTGCTTATTGTCTTCTCTGATTGGAAAAGCTGCATGAGAACGACGCTTTAAGAAACTTTCTATTCTCATAAAGTGGTCAAACTAGAAAAGTAATGTTACTTTCCGTCTAAAATGGGTTATATAACTGGTAGGAATACAAAAGGAAGCTGGACTTTACGCCTCCAACAATTTTACCAAGACACAGGAAAAAGTCCAACAGCAAATGTGCTCAGTTTTTAACACTTACTCACAGCTCAGTTTGGGCTTCAAATGCATTTCTCAGTTAATTATGTAAATGACTCCTTCAACTTAATCAGTGTTTGTACTTTTCCCAGCGCTTACCATCTTCCTTCTCGTCGAACACTGGTCTCTTTGAAGAACTGTTGGCTCCCATCCTCTTCTTCCACTTGCCCCAGTGAAACATTGATGCTCAGATTGCATTCCTCGCCTCTTGGAGAGAAACTACAGCTTAGCGTTGGACACCCTCCTCCTTAAAAAAACAGGCAGCCGAGCATTTCACCAGACTCCGTTTGGTTTGGGGGATGTTTTCTTTCTATCTGTCCGTGTTCCCCTGTTTTCAGCCGACAATCTGAAGCAGCGCGAGTAAATGAGGATAATGATGGCAAAAGTAATTTCGGATGAGATGACGGGAAGTGAAGCGAGCGGATTTTGTGGACGTGTTGGGATCTGACAGTGTTCTGTAAGTTGGAGCTGGATGTTCAAACAGTGACTCGATGTTTGTAGCGCTCAGCTGTCTTCCGCAGACAGACCAATACGCTTCCAGCTCATCGATGCTGCCGCGAGTGGAAGCTGCGTTAAGCTGCAAATAAAGACCGGAAGCAGAGGCAATTTGCTTAAGAAAATAAAAGTCGCTGCGCCAGGAACGCTTTCGGACCTTTTTATTTGGAAAACAACGCTTATAAAAATAGATTATTGTGTATTTTTACAAGGAAATAAATAAAGTGTATTTTGTTACGGTTTATTACTTTATAATTTTTAATTTCTAATTTAGTATGATTATTTCTAGGAGGGGTACTGTACTAGCAATATCCTTCAAATATTGCTGTTATTTTATTTATTTTAAACTGTTGCACTCATCACTGAAATTTCATAACAGTGATTATTATGATTGATATTATTATTGCCACTATTACTATAATTTTGTGTAATTGTATTACATTTAAATTTCAATAAATTTTACTATAATTATAATTTTTGTTAATTATATTTATTTTATTAATATCCATTTATTGTTAGTGAAGGGCAACTTCATAACGTATTATTTACAATTTGATTGATTTGCACTTACAATTGTTGATATCATCATTATTAAAATAATACTGGGTTTATTTAAAATGTATTTTTTATTTCTTTCAGAACAACTATAACTTGTTTTTAAGCTTATTTATTTGATATGGTGTTGAACTTATTTTAAACTTAAACACACATTATTTTCATTAGATTATTTTTAGCATAGCTTTAGTCTATTGTTTATTAAAACGGTGTCATTTTTTTATTTACAATTTCAGTGTATTTCACTTATTATTTATTTATTTATGTATTATTATTATTATTATTATTATTATTATTATTATTATTATTATTATTATTAAACTTTGTGAGCAGTCAAGTCCTTTATTTAAAGATAACCGGAAGCTACATGTTACTATTCTGGTTAACTTGACCATCATTTGCCACTGCTGGTTTAGTTACTGGGTGTGCACCATGCACACGCCAGAGTGCCAGAGTACTACTCTAGGCAGATTCAGCTCCAGCAAAAGGGGACGCCCACTTAATAATGACATTCATTGTCGTTATTATTATTACCAAAATCTAATTCAGATAAATGGTTTGGTATAATTTCAAATGCCACATTTAATGCATTTAATGAAGCACAATGTGTTATGTTGGTTAGTTTTGATTTACAGATTTTGTACATTTTTGTCCCATTGATCGTCAGTGCAAGTACAATAGTGAATATATATTATTAAAAACAAATAATTGTAATTAGTTTATGATCAAATTTGGTCATACTTAGAAAATCCATCTGTTTTTTCTTTCCAGTGCAAACCTGCCACTCACAATATGGTGGACTAGTTAATATTTCATTTCTACTAACGGAGCCAAATCATGGTCTGTTCTTTTCTCCCCACTGTCCCTGATCTCAGCATTTCAAGTTAAGCTCCTTCCATCCCGGACTGTTACTATTTACGGCAGTTTATTCCACCGGCTGACTGTGAAGGAACGCACCCATGAGAAGTCGGTGTGCCTGCCACACGTAGCACATAAAACAACCAACCCTCTGTTTAAAGCCATGTGCAGCCTCTAGGAACAAAGACAGAGAGCACAGGTGGGCTTTAACGCGATGTAAGGTGTTAACTGGTGCTGGCCTTCATCAGAGCAGTGAATTAATATTTGACAATCCGATTAGAATATGGATGGGTGGAGCCGGAGTACTGAAAAAAAGACCAGAAGGTTATTAATTTACACGTTGGGTTTATTTGTTGATGTTGCTCTCCAGATAATGTCACATTCCATTTTAGAGGACATTTGAATTGGATAACTTTTATTTTTTTTCTCTCTTTATTCAAACTATAATGTAGTAACCTGGGGGGTTTAAATTGGGTTTTCATTTAGAATTGTCTAGTGGAACCTTCAAGAATTAAAAGTGCAGTCGTTAAATATGTGATAATTTAAATACAGTTGTTAAGCAATATCTTAATAAATGTAGCAGTAGCAATTTAATATTAATAAAAAATATTAAATAAATAAATATGAGTGGAACAATTAACATTTAAATTGCAGTGTATTGTAAGCCTGGCGGGCCACCAGGCTTTACTTGCGCACCCACCAGGCTAAGCATTGTTTATTTATTTTAGTTTTTTTTTTTTTTTCAATGATTGCTTTTTTCAAAGACTTTATAGTTGATGTTTACGTATTAATCTTCAAGTCTCCCAAAAACACGTAATTATCAAATTATATTTTCAAATTTCCTGTCAACTTTAAACATTTTTTTAACCCAAAAACAATGTGGACGAAGGAAGTTTACTGTCTTCTTGAAAGTAACCTTTCAGCAAGATGTAGGAGCTTGTTTTATGTAAATAAAACCTTAATATTGATGAAAAAGTGTTATTTCATTGACAGATTATTTCACTTATTTTACAAGTCAAAACAGCCAATGGAAGAAGTTCTTCTTTCCCAATTTTAAGAAATTGTTTACTTAAAACAAGTTCTTACAGATTGCTGAAAGGTTATTTGTAAGTTAATTTTGTCTTATTTCAAGTGTATAAAGATATATGCGTTAAAAACTAGACTAAAAATACTTAGTAAGATATGTTTTTCCCGTGTTTTATTTGGCCCTTTTGGCCCTCCGTAGAACTCATAGTGACTGCTGTTGTTGTTGTTACTCTTGTTGCTATGGTTACAGTTTGAATCTTGGGAGACTCCGTTAAAAGTTAGCTTACTTTTAAAATGAGTACAAAACGTTTTGGTTTAAGTATTTAGGGTTTTTTTTTTATGTCGTTGGAGTTTAGTAACTGGGAAAGCAGGGGACGCTTTCTGACATTTATTCAGCCGGTAGTTGTCCAGTTTTAGCTAAAGCGGATACAGTTAGCTTCTTACGTAAAATCACTACTCATGGGTTAAATGCCGCAAGAAAAAATGATGTTCGAAACCGAGTTGGTCCAGAATGACCTTAACTGGACTTCTTCAATGGCTGTCTTTGACAAAGACATACAGGGACGCTTTGTCTTCGGAGACAATGATATGAACTTAGAGAGGAAATTCAGCCTGCCTGAGAAGACCGAGCCAGAGGATGAGCCCACTCCCACAGACACGCTAAGCCTGAAGGGATCCAATCTCACTTATGTTCCTGACAGTGTGCTGAAAAACAGCCTGCTCACGGTCAGTCCAGTACACAGCAGCAGCAGGTGTATGCTCGGCTTCATGTTGCCTCTTTATTTAACAGGATTCCCGTTGTTCCTCAGCGTCTGTGCCTGCAAGAAAATAGGATTTCCAGCATTTCTGGATCATTGTTCTCCAGCTTGCCCCAGCTGCAGTGGCTGGACCTCAGAAAGAACCTCATTACGTCCCTTCCTGTTGAAATTGGCTCACACAGGTCAGGTCCTATTGCATTTATTGTATTTAAATCGGCCAATCTTTAGCAAAAGTATTGTACACTGCACATCTGGTCGCCTTATAACACATGCCCATCAGAAAGTAAATTAGTTCTCCCATTTATCAATAGCGGAGGTTTACATTTCTATTCTTGTGTGCGTTGGAGATCACAGTTAAAATCAAAGTTTTTGTTTTTAGAAATCACTGCATTTCTATGTTGTTTAATCCGCAGGCTTTTCAGCTTGTAACCTCCCCAAAATAGAGCCACACCTGGTGACTCTCCCATAATACATGTAAAATTATTTCATAAATACACAGAGTGACATAATTATATGCATCTTTAAAGTGGCATTTTATTATTGAATTTCATATTTTAAAGGTTTAACTCATTACCGTATGTTCCAGATTGTCTTTAGTCAGAGGCTTCTTCAAATTTGCCGTAATACAGACAGTTGCAGCTCTTTGAATTACTATGAGTTACTGCAACATTTAATTTTCCTTTGAGATCAGTAAAATGTTTTTGCATGAATTGAATAAGTTGCACTATTTGTTGCATTTATTTAGAAATTGTCAAACGTCAGGTCGTCCATCTTGATGATATGATTTGGTGATGTACTAATATTGTATTAAGTCAAATAACACACATTTCAACAACAAGGCAGTACAAAGTGGTTTAAACCATTAAAACATCAGATAGAAAGAAGCAATAAACACTACATTTTGTCAAATCCTATCAAGAAGATATGCATTAAATATGTTGATCAGTGTTCCATTTATTGTTAATAAAAGGCAACTCATAAGAGCTGAGATTTAGCCTGGATTTAAATCAACTCAGTGTTATATTGCTTTGATGTTTTCTGGAAGTTTGTTCCAGATTAGAATAACATAAAAAAATGAATGCTACTTCTCCATGTTTGGTTCTGGTACTGGTGCAGAGTAGATCTAAGCCAGAAGACCTGAGTGTTTGAAACAACAACTTTAAACTGGGGTGGTGAGCTCTATCTTCCTGGTTTTAGTCAGAATGCCAGCATCAGCATTCTGGATCAGCTGCAGTTGGAGGACTGATTTTGTTATTCAGACCTATAAAAACAGGATGAATGGATGAATTTCTCTTTTTGCATAGAATTGCAGGGTCGTTAGTCCTTTAATCCTGAAAATGTTCTTCAGGTGATAAAAGGCTGACTTTGTAACTTTCTTTATGTGTTTCTGAAGGTTGAAGTCTGAGTCTGTCACCACGCCCAGATTTCAGATCTAATCACTAATTTCTAGCTGTAATAACTGAAGCTGTGTGCTGATTCTAGATTGTTGCTCTTTAGATCGAAACATAATTACTTACAGCTTGACGATTATTTTTTGATACCAGCTGTGTGGTGAAATTGGACTAAAAAATAAACTCAAATGAACGTTTCTATCTTGTGTAGAGGAGAGTCATTGCTTTCAGCCATCTCATAACCTGTCATTCTGATCATGCAGGTGTCTAACACATCTTCTACTTGAGGCCAATCCCATCACAGAGCTTCCAGCAGAACTCGGTGAGCTCAGTTCACTCACATGAATTAGTGAGCAATGTTTCACTCTTTGAGACGCAAGGTTTCTCCTTTGTTTCATCACTGCCTCCTGTCTCAAACACACCAGTCACATTCAGTAAACAGATAGTGGCAACATGAAAAATAACAAAAGATTAAAATGAGGAATGTTGAGCATCTTTTGAAGTTATACT